TGAATTTTGCATAGAAACTTGAAAAAAATCAAATACAATGAAACAAATTAAAATTACTAAAACGATTTAATAAAATGGGACACAAGGGAAAATTTGCCAAAAATACAACAAAAAAAATTATAATTTGAATACTAACAAAAAAACCCCAAATCCAATGGCTTACAATTTGCCACATACTCCATTTTTCCTAAATTTTTTTTTTTTGGTTGTTCACTAAAAAATACCCTAAAATAAATAAGGAAAATATGCTAAATTGACTCAGTTTAAAATTAAGATTGTCTGAATAACCTTTATACACATATCATTTTGTCGCAATAACTTTTGATATTTTCATGAACTGATATTCATTGTGCCAAAAACAACATTGACTTAAACGGAGTTAGTCAACTGTTAAGTATGTGCTGAGATGGAGCACGTGGACAATAAATATTAATTATAACCAAAATGACGTAGTTTTGTGTTTTTACTAATCTAACGTCGGGGCTGATTGGAGATGAGACTGTCAAGACTTTTGAAGATTTTACAGCCCTTAAAGTCAATATTTAGCCAATGAAGCTTTTATGACTTTGTTAATTTTTTAAGTCTTCACATACCTTTTTTTTTGTTTGCTCTTGGTTTTTTTTTAGAAGCCTTGTAAACGTGATTTTAGGGGACTTTCACTCTGAGGAAAAAAAAAGGAAATCCAACATTTTTTCTTCGCAAAAGAAATTGAAATTCTTTTTTGAAATTAATTTAATTTTATCTGAAAAATAAATTCGATTAATTGACAGTTACAATTTTTTTTGTTCTTTTGATATCCATTTTTCTCCACAAAAATTTAAAATTTATGGAATCTATAATCTGAAAGTTGCCAAATACATATTTTATTTTATATCTAATTTAAGAAACACAAATAATATTATGGAAGAATTTAAAATCCCAAAGTGGAAACAATGACATTAAATTTTTTTCTTTTCATCTCTTTACCTCTAAGAATTTGTGCTTTTTTATTTTGATGGAATTAGCTAAATAGAAAAGTTTACCAACCAAAATAAATATAATAATTGTTTGTGCATATTATCTATTTGAACTTCGTTTCCATGTCTTTATCGAATACAAATTTTTAATAATATATATATAATTATAATATTTCAAGTAGCCGTTACAGTTTCAACAGTTTTTATTATCAATCACACTTTATTAATATTTAAATGTAACAGCCATAGTTCTTACAGTTTTTTTCTCTACAGCCAAAAGTCTACGGTCACAGCCTAGAGCCACAATCGTTACTAATCAGACCCGTCGTTTTGAATTTATTGGAAAAAAATGATTTGCATTAAAGAGCCATTTTCCACCTGATGCCAAACACCAATTTCTGCCGTTGGTGAAAGTCTCTAAGAGCTTGATTAGTTCACCCGCTACCACCCGCAAACGCTACATTTTCGAGTGGTAGCAGTTGTCAACGTTTGACAACAATCATGGAAAACGCTTTATACCGCTCTGTGTCGCTTCAAACCTCTCAAAATCAAAAGCTCCTTCCCTCGAGCGTTTGCGGTTGAGT